GCTTTTTTTTTTGCAAAATCCATTTCCTTGTATTTAGTTTTGTTACTTTGCAGGAATGATTTTTTTTGGCAGAGTCCATTTCCTTGTATTTAGTTTTGTTACTTTCAAGGAGTGCATTTTTTTTCGCAGAGTCCATTTCCTTGTATTTATGCGCATTTTTATCAAGAAGACTCTTTTTATGCATAGAATCCATCTTTTGGTATTTAAGTTTATTGCTTTCAACAAGATGTTTCTTACTTGTAGGATTCATAAAGCTATACAGGTTTTCTATTCTTATTTTGTGCCTTTATCTGAGTAGTAGACTTGTGCTTCCTTAAGATTTTTTGTTTTTCAGACTTCGTCATTGTGCCAGGAATTGATAAAAACTGGATGATATATGGTACTTTTTTTAAGCCAGGATAATTGCACTTCGTTATCACATATTATTGTATAAAAAAAATTACACAAGTCAGTAAATTCTTCATAGATACATACACCACTGTCTGAATCGAGACCTAAGAAAAAGTATGTAGTTGTCTGTTTTTTAAGATAGCTTTTATTCTGCATTACGCAACCCAATTACTCTTCTAAAAACTGTAACAAAAATCCACAAATTTGCCAACAGTAACCTTACTGGATTCAGCTGTTAACCAAAGTGTCCCTTGATACCATGACGTATATTCTATGTTGATTCCAGAACCGCATATTTCCAGGTGCGGATCTAGGATTTTTCATACCTTAGTCAAATTTTATGACGTCATTTATGACGTCACATATGGCGTCACGCATGACTTATTTACAGGCATATTAAAAGGTGTTCGATTTTTTAAATGATAGTCCTGAGACTACCAGCTGATCTGCTTTGCACCATATTAGGGCTCATCAACATGCCTAGGATACAGTTTTAAAAATATACGCTAATAATTGTTTTTGAGATGACATTGAGGGGAGAATCTACTTATTCCCAAAGTATTTATTAGTCCCTACTTTGAGTAGCCCCGACTTTGAGTATTATTGTTAGCAACTAGTACTAGGGCCGAAGCTAAAGCATCAGAACTTAGAAGAAGTAGGAAAATCTTCAAAATAGGAAATTAAAATCACGCTAGATCAAGTAGTATCCATCAATTATATCGCGGACTGAGGGCAGAGTTACAATGTCAACATCATGATGTATATTCACTCATAATTTTCATATGAACGTATTTATACATGTGATATACACCAGGAATATGAATAATAATAAGTAACTAAAAGTGAACATGCTAAGTTTGTGTCTTTCATATCATATTTAAATTATATATTCATATATAGCAATTTTCCCAATTGTTCCTCACAGTTTTTAGCAGGTGTGGTGCATCAGATATAAAGAATAGGTCTCTTCCATCAGAACTATAGATGTTTCTTGTTTTGTGAACAACAAGACCTTTAGCACTCTTGTGTGGTTTATGAATCTTGATGAATTTTCGGTTTGGAGAAGCTCCATCACAGGTGCTTGCAGCTACTTTTAAACCAACAGTTTCTAAGTGCCTCACTGCATCCCAGACAAGAGGGAACAATAAATCTGCTGCTATGCAGCCATTGCAAGGGAAATGTGCCAGTGGATACTCCAACTTGGTAATAATTCCACGAACCATAAAGACTAGCATGTAAGTTTCAAATTTCTGCCAGTCGTCTAGGTCACTATACTTCATATCTTTTAGTAAACATTCAAATGAAGATGGCTGAAACCTGATGTTACCTTTGTCCAGTGTGTCTCTCAGTGTTCTTTCACTTGGTAGCTGAATGACCCCTGAATCTCGCATGACCTTGTATGCTGAAGTTGATCATAGCTTTACATTCAAACACACTTGATCATGATTGGATGCCATCTTCTTTGTCTTGCATCATTGCAACATAGAGCCTATAACTGCTGTTCATAGAATAATCATCTAAATGAGCCTTCAGGTAATTCTTTTGCAAAGTCTTTGTCCCTTAATATCCCTGCTAGATAATAATTCATTTCTGAATCTAGAACATGGCCCTCTTTGTTAATTAGATTATCAACTTTAGATCTTGTCTTTCGTAATACCTGTTTTGTGGATCTCAGTTTCTTTTGCATGGACCGTAACCGTTCAGTTTTTCCTTCAAATAACAAATATCGATAATTAACATGACTGCTTGATTTGGTGTAGTGCTTGTCATCATCTAACAGCTTTGTTTGTCTGCTCTTGATCACTCTCACATAGTTTCTGTGTTTAACACACTCTGCGCATTAATCATAGTGGCCTGACACCAACAGGTGGCATTTCTTGGTTCGAATTGTATCATCAAAATACTGTCCATTGGTTTTGGACTTCAAAATTTGCTTCCATGGCTGAATTAGTATTACCTGCTGTCATGTGCTGAGCATGGTACTTCTTTTAGCTGTGTCCATCAGATCATTATCTGGATTTCCGCAACATATCTTCCCTCATTAATGGTTCTCAAAATTTCAAAAAACCCCTCATTTGTCTTAATTTCTTTGTGCGTAATTAGATTTTCCAATCCTTTGTTATAAAACTGTTGGACAGGTTTGTCATGCACTCTAAGAATCCAGGTATAATCTGCATAAATTGCTAATGATTTTAGTATCATAGGGTCTTTCATTGGACTTCGTTTCCTTTCCTTCATATAAACTACTTTTAACTGTGTATTGTCACTTTCTACTAAAGTCCATCCAAATGGAAGGCCTACAAGTTTTACAGTATATGCTAAGTCCTTTAAACTTGTTGAGGGGTTTTTGTTTATTGGTTCTGCTAGGGGTTGACACCTGGTATTGTCTTCAGTGTTGACATTTCTAGTGCTTGTGCAGCCACATGTACTGGCAAAAGGTGCATGTAATTGATTGTACATGTATTTGTCCTAAAGCAGGATAAAAGAACAAATGAATAAGTAAATTTTTATAACAACACAATCTTTAACACATAATTTTAGAGTGATATTTTTTACCAGCTCATTGTTTTCTTTGTTCACATGTACATCCAGCACTGTGCCTGTGGCAGTGTTTTCTGGTCTTGTTCAATTTTTTTGTGCCTAAAGATTAACGTATACTGCATTTTAAACGGGAATGTGTGCTTGCATTAGCTCCGTATTTTATCAAAATTCTTATTATTTTCGTTCTTCTATAACGCTATAACGACAACTGATAAAGCGAATGAGGTTTATGGTCGCCACAGATGATAAAGAAGGAAGTATTTAGAGTTCGTGATGGAGCTATATTTTGTTGTAATTTTGTTTACGGTGACATTGCCGAGTCCATACAATATTTTTCGGACTGAAGAGAACATTAAGAGTGGTCCTGCTATAAAGAAAGCTCTTGTTGTAAGCCTACGGCAGTTGGCCTTGGATTTCGAGTTTGATTTTACTGGGGATTGGTTGACTTTAGACACAGATAAGTATTATACATTAAAGGAAGCGAATTGTCATCAGAGGCCGAATACATCGCTTTATTGCGTTTGCTTTTGGGCTCATATTTGCATTTATCCTGATCCTGTAGTCGTCTTTGCCGTGTGTCAACTTCATCAACGCCCTTTTGTCTCATTGTTCCTTATTCGGACAAAACGACACAAGAGACCATGTGCTTACTATGCAAATTCCACAGCGTCGTTCCACCTATTGCTAATTGGTGATTTAGTGTTCAAACTTAATCCAGGACCTGATTCCAAAGAACAATGCCCTATAAAACCAATTGTATTTGTGCGAGAAAGCAGTTCGTCACGGCCTATTGTTGAACGGAACCCAAACAATTTAATTAAGATTAATTGTTTGCCGGTGTTTTGTAACGTTAATCATCAATTGTCTTTTTGTCTATTGAATGCAAGATCTGTTAGAAATAAGTCAGCGGATATTTTTGACTATGTTTGTGATTCTAAAGCTGACATATTTGCTATCACTGAAACATGGCCACCTCAGTAGATGCTGTCGTTCGGGCGGAGCTGTGTCCTAGCGGATATAAGCTTGTAGACCAGCCTTGCAGAAATCGTCGTGGGGGTGGCACCGCACTTTTGTACAGAGATTGTCTTAATGTTGTAAAAAATAACGCGGATGAAATGGACTCATTTGAGTATTTGGACTGGTGTGTGCAACTTCAGTCAAAACAGAAACTTTGTGTTGTTATTGTTTATCGCCCCCCGTATTCTGAAAAGCATAAGGTCTCTACGCAGGTTTTCTTTAATGAGTTTTCAGACTTTCTCGAGTCAATTGTTATGACGGATGAAAAGCTTCTAATCGTCGGCGATTTCAATATTCACATTAATATGCTATGGATGATTCTGACGCGATTATTTTTCAAGACTTACTGGAGTCGTTCAGTCTCAAACAGCATGTGTCATGTCCAACCCACTTCCATGGTCATACCCTCGATCTGTTTATAACCCGCCAAACAGACAGCATTATAAGAACTCCGCCTTGTGCTGACCGTTACCTCTCTGACCATGCTTCAATTTTGTGTGATATTCAATTTGATAAGCCATCACTAACTGTTAAAAGTGTAACTTATAGAAAATGGAAATCAGTGGACGTGTCTTCTCTGAACCATGATATCGCTATGTCGGATCTATGCGTGAACCCTTTAAACGATCTAGATGAATTGGTTGCCTGTTATAATAACACTTTGAAGGCACTTTTTGATAAACATGCACCTCCTAAAACAAGAACGATAATAGTTAGACCACAGGTGCCTTGGTTTAATCAACAGCTTAGGAAAGCAAAGCGTGAGAGACGATGTTTCATTCGATAGTTTATTCTTTTAAGCTATTTACAAATCCTTCGCTCCTCACACGGCGACTTAGAATTATACAATACAATGTTCCTCGCTCCTCACACGGCGACTTATATTATTTTATACAAGGTTCCTCGCTCCTCACACGGCGACTTATATTTATATATTGTTCCTCGCTCCTCACACGGCGACTTATAGTTATATATTGTTTTTCGCTCCTCACACGGCGACTTATACTTATATGAAAAAAATTCAAAAGAGTTCAATTAAAAGGTAATATTGTTTATCGCTTGACCGGTTTAATTATCCTGCCATATTTGCTTTTCCGCTGCTGGGCCCCAACATCCTCCCCAACCAATGGCGAACTGACATTCTCTTCTTGAACACTTCGAGGTCGATCTTCTTCCTTGCGAGTTTCTTCACGGACACAAGGTAATTGTTGAGATGGTATTGATTCACGATACTCTTCCAACAAATGTAACTTTTGTATTGGTCGGTTAATCTTACCCGTTCTGGTCCGAATTGTTGCTGTCCTTATAATACCATCTCTTCCTGGAAATGTGTTTTCGATTTTGCCTAATATCCATTTACCTCTGGGTAAGCCATCATCCGAAACTAGAACGACATCATTTGGTTTCAACGGAGATATTTCCCGAAGCCACTTCTGGCGCGTAGTTAATCTTGGGAGATATTTTTTCAGCCATCGCGACCAAAAGTGATGTTGTAATCTTTGTAGATATCGATACCGTTGAGAAAGAGATACTTTAAGATTCTGTGATGAATGTTCTGGAATTTCACCGAGGTTACGATTTAGCACCAACAAAGCCGGAGTTAGCACAACCCCGTCATTGATGTTGTCTCCTATATACGTCAATGGGCGAGAATTGATAATAGCTTCAATGTCAGTCAAGATTGTCATCATTTCTGTGTAGGTAAGGAACGACTTTCGCAAAACTTTACGTAATGGTTCCTTTATCTGTCTGCATACTCTTTCCCAATGACCTCCCCTGTGGCTCGCTCGCTCGGTAATAAATTTCCATACCACGCCTTCATTCGCCAATCGGTCTTGGGCACCTTTAGGATCAAATCCGCTCAACTTTATCTTCTGTTTCGAAGCGATTAAAACTCAAGCCGCTTTATGAAACGATGTTTGATTATCTGAACGAATTGTGCTTGCCATACCTCGGCGATTTACCATCCGTCGGAATGCTTGTAAGAATTCCTCCGTAGTCATGTTATTCGTTAATTCCAGGTGCACTGCTCTTGTGTCCTCACATACAAATATACATACATATGCTTTGTGTGTTTGACTTGGCTTCTCTTTGTCCTTAACTTTCAAATACAAGGGACCCATAAAGTCTAGACCAACATTCGTAAATGGGTGCGTCACGTGTACGCGTTCAGCCATTTTTTGTTGACACGGTTGAGTTTTCCAGTGCTGGCATACAAGGCATTTTTTAAGAATTCTCTTAACCTCACGTCGTCCTCCAATGATCCAAAAACGTTGACGAAGGATTGCCAAAGTTGTTTCTGGGCCAGGGTGGGACGCTTTAATATGGAGATGTAAAATCAGTTTTTCGACCAGTTTATCTTTTTTGGGAATGATGATCTGGTGTTTTGCTTCATATGGTATATCTGCAAATTCTAAACGACCACCGACACGCATAAGTTCTTTCTCCCAATCAAATATAGGATCCAGCTTTAGGATTGAACTTGCTGAGTCAAGAACTGTTCCTTTACTCAAATTGTTGTACTCGTGGTGAAAAACGTTTTTCTGAATGATCTTAAGCCAACAAAGCTCGGCATTCTTAATTTCTTGAGCGGATAGTTGACCCGTTTTCCTAATACCATGTGAATGCAACCATTTCAAGATCCAACTCGTAATTCGTAGTAAGCGCTGCCAGCTTTCGTACTTATCTGCCATATCAGGGTAACACGGCGCTTTCGCTCCAAAATGACATGCGACGGTACTTTGTTTTCTTGCTTCAATTAAACATTCTTTTATCAAATTTTCAAATGATACTCTTTTAGGCCATCGGTCAACACTTTGTAAAAGCCAAGGCGGGCCATTCCACCAAATTGTACTATTCGCCAGTTGATTAGCAGAAATTCCTCTCGTCAATAAATCAGCAGGATTTTGATCTCCAGGGCAATGGTGCCATTTGCTCGGATCAACCTTTTGCTGTATTTCTTGCACACGATTGGCGACGAACACCTTCCATTTACTACAAGGTTGTCGAATCCAGTTTAATACAATCTGACTATCTGACCAAGCATAGACTTCTTGTACTGGCGTTTTCAAAGCTTCGATAACATAACTTGTCAGTTTAGCTGTAAGATAAGCTGCAAGTAGCTCCAGTCGTGGAAGCGTAATTCTCCTTGTTGGTGCAACTCTGGACTTAGCCATGATAAGATTGGAAATGCGTTTACCAACTTTATCTTCAGCACAAAGATATATTGCAGCTCCATAGGCCTTTTCACTCGCATCACCAAATCCATGTAATTCGATTTTATTAATGTCGCGTTCTGGTGGCAAAACACAGCGCGGAATTTCCAAATTTCCAGTTCGCATAACTGCTCTTTCCAAGTTGTCCACTCTTTTGCAATGTCATCATCGAGTTTTTCATCCACTGCTTGCCTCGTAACCACAATTCTTGAAAAAGCACTTTAGGTCTCATCAGGAAAGGTGCTATCAATCCCATCGGGTCAAACAATCTAGCGTATAAGCTGATTAAACTTCTTTTAGTCATCGAATCTTCTAACGAAACAAGTTTTTCTCCTGCTTCAAACAAGAAAATGTCTTTTCTAGTATTCCATGCAACACCAAGGGCTTTTAGAAGATCTGACATTTTTTCATCATGCTCAGACTGTTTTGACGAAATAACTGTACTTGTAGCTCGATCTTTCTCTGGGATATTCTCCATCACCGTAGCTGAATTTGAAGCCCACTTAGTGAGTACAAATCCTCCTTTTTCCATTAATTTTGAGCACTCCGATTGCAGTTTTATAGCAGCTTCGTCGTCATCTGAACCAGAAAGCAAGTCATCTACATACATATTATCTTGAATTTCTTCACTTGCTGTTGGGAAGGTATCGTGGTTATCCTTTGCATGTTTTTGCACAGTAGCGATGGACACAAAGGGAGAAGATGTGTTTCCAAAGGTTACTTGAGTCATGCAATACTCTTTTGGAGGGTCATCCATCGTTAAATCACGCCACAGGAAACGATGACTATTTTGTTCCTTCTTCAATAAGCAAATTTGAAGAAACATCTTCTTTATGTCAGCCATCATAGCAATTCGATGACTTCGAAATCGTATCAACACATGCACAAGATCCAGTTGTAACTTAGGACCTTTCAGGAGACACGAGTTCAGAGAAACGCCGTCGGACGTTTTACTGCTTGCGTCAAAGACAATGCGACATTTAGTACTTGCTTTATCTTCTCGGAACACAGCATGCTGAGGCAGATATCGAGCCTTTTCATTTTTCTCGTCTTCTTGGTCCGTTTCTCTTGCATGTCCATCCGTTAAATACTGATTCATCGCATTTCGATAAGATTCGGTTTTCTTTGGATTTCGCTTCAATCTTTTTTCAACAGAAATAAGTCGTTGGAATGCTTGATGATAGTTGTTAACAAGAGGTGGTGGATTTCTCATCCAGGGAAGACCAACTGTATACCTTTCACCATCATATTGAAGATTTGATTCAAACTGATCCATGGCATACTTCTCTTCACTAGTGACTAGGGAATCTTTTATCTCATCAACAATTCCAAGTGCATCAAGACTCCAAAAACGTTTTAACACCTCGTCCACATTGTCAACTTGGGTCACGCTTAGCATGCTGGTTGTTTTATTATTCTTTCTTTTGGAACCAGGCACAGGTCCACCTACTATCCAACCAAACACAGAACTTGTCGCAATAGGTGTACCCAGTGTACCCCATTTTGTTGTATCACCAACTAACTTATGATACTGATCGATTCCTATTAGTACGTCTACTGTAGCCTGTGGGCGTGGAAATTTCTCTGCAAGGTTCAGACTTGTTAAATGAGGACACTGTTTTAGGTCAAACTTCACTTCGCTTAGCGGGACACAAACATTTTTCACCGTCCATGCTTCAACATAAGTTGACTCTGTCTCTCCAGTCGTATGTAGTGGTGCAAGTTTGAACGATACTCGATGGACTTTCTTTTCCTGACTCTCTCCGCCTAACATATTAATTTTCATAGAGGTTGTACCATTATTTCTCTTTAGACCAAGAGAATCAACAACAGATGAACGTACGAATGTTTCCTCCGATCCACTATCAAACAAGATACGCACGACCAATTCGTTTCCTTCATGAATAAGACGAGCCAAGGCGGTAGGAAGCAAACTTTGTTGGCCAGTTTTGAGAGATACAAACCCGGTTATAGTTTCAACCTCCTCGTTTCTTCTTATCAGTTGTTTCCTTGTCTTCGTGAAGTAGGTTATGATGACGTTTACCACATCCATCCACGGAGCATTTAGGTCTTTTGCACGTTCTGGAATTGTGAGACACATTTCCAGGTTTGAGGCAGTTGTAGCAGGTCGGTATTGTGGGGTTGCTTTTCAACATACTCCATCTTTCTTCCGGCGATCTGTCCAGGGCGACTTTACATTTTTCTGTATCATGTGGCTTGGAACAAAATCCACAAATCGGTTTACTTTCGGTGTGATTCAGCAAAGCAGAAGCTGAAACCAGTCGTTCTTCTTTCTTTCCTATTTTTCCCTTGGAAAATCTACCAGATACCCGAGTGCCTTCTGCTACGTTACGTGTTTCCTTGCTAATCACATGTCCTTCTAAGAAATCGAAAAACGAGTCAATATTGATATTACATTTTTCTTCCTCAACCTTGAGCTCCCACTTTTCGCGCAGTTCGCCAGGTAGTTTGCTTTCTAGAATAGGCAACATGACCATAGACAGGCTATCGTTGTCTTTAATCTTTAGCCCATTAGATTCAAGACTCCTCAGTCGATTCTTCATAATGTAGAGTAGATAGCGTAACGCTTTCGAATCATCTTCATCAGGAATCTTTAATCCAAGGATCGATTTAACCAATTCACTAACAATAGATCTTTTCCGACCGAATCGAGTTTTCAGATCTTGTAGAGCCTTTTCGTAATTTTCGTTGATCACAGAATATCCTTCTATACATCGTAAAGCAGTACCTTTTAAACAAGATCTAAGGTGGGTCAACTTTTGAACGTTCCCTAACTTTGTGTTAGATCCAACAGCAGCTTTGAAGGCATCATAAAAAGCAGGCCACTCTATAATTTTACCAGCAAACTGCGGTAAATCTAATGAAGGAAGTTTCAGACCATGATCTCTTGATTTAGCAGTAGCGTTTCTACTAATATATAATTCTGCTTGCTCCTCTGTTTGTAAAATTTGGGCTCGGACATCTTCCCATTGCTCCATCTCATTCTCAGCCAACTCGTCATTGTCCAGTTGCATTACAGTTTCATCAATGGCTTTGATCCATTTGCTTTCGATTGCGTTCAGTTTAATAAGCTTTCGTTCCACGAGTTTTATGTCAGCCTCATCCCGAATCAACCGTTGAAGTTCAGTCATGATTCGCTCAACAGTGCTTGTCAGAAACCGTTTCTTTCTGCTAATTTTGCTAAGCAAAATTGTATCTTGTTGGATTGAATTATCACTGCGTACAAACTCCTCATGAGTCTCTTCAACGAAGTTTACTTTAGGCGGTAGTGGTGTAGACGACGTCGGGGTTTGTAACTTAGTTATGATCGCCTCCATTGACTGACGAAAACCTGCCAGTTCATTTTGTATTGAGGACTTTAACTCACGAACAGAATTTTCTACATCATCAATCCTTTCTTCGGGGTCTTTTACTTTACGTATCGAGAAAGGTTTCTTTGCGTAAGCCTCTACGGTAAACCTGGTTTGATAATACTGAATTAAGCGTCTTTTCAGCTGTTCCTTTGTTCTGGAATCATCCAACTGAAACGTCGAACAAAAGACTCTCAGATCGTCAATAGTCAAACGTTCAACTAAAGCATACGCCTGCTCTAAATTCTTGGGAACTGCTTCGTCTTCTGCCATATTTCCCACGATTATAATGTTCTAATTCGATATTTTCTCAATTATTTCAGTAACCATTTCCTGCTACCAATGTTTCATTCAATAGTTTATTCTTTTAAGCTATTTACAAATCCTTCGCTCCTCACACGGCGACTTAGAATTATACAATACAATGTTCCTCGCTCCTCACACGGCGACTTATATTATTTTATACAAGGTTCCTCGCTCCTCACACGGCGACTTATATTTATATATTGTTCCTCGCTCCTCACACGGCGACTTATAGTTATATATTGTTTTTCGCTCCTCACACGGCGACTTATACTCATATGAAAAAAATTCAAAAGAGTTCAATTAAAAGGTAATATTGTTTATCGCTTGACCGGTTTAATTATCCTGCCATATTTGCTTTTCCGCTGCTGGGCCCCAACAGACGAAATGCAGAGAGGAAATGGAGAGTGTCTAAGTCAGATGTAGACTTTGTTAACTTCAAAGGCAAACAAAACTTAGTTAACAGACTCATGCGTAGAGCCCGTACAGAATATTATACAAGTTTCATCGAGGAGAATAGTGGTGATCAGAGAAAATTGTTTAATGCAAGTAAACGCCTGTTCGGTCAACATCATGATGATGGTCTTCCTCCTAATTTAAACTGTGAAGCTTTTGTTAATGACATCGGAAAGTATTTTGTACAAAAGATTGGAAACATACGGAAAAAACTAGATAATAACGAGATGCATGACTCATCTAGAGATTTGCAAAACGCGCCTGTTACACAAGCCGTTGAAGAGTCCGTGCCAATGTTTTCAGAGTTTAGTGCCCTTTCTGAAGTTGATGTGAAAACTGTAATTGGTCGTGCTGCATTGAAAACCTGTGATTTAGATCCAATGCCATCTAAATTGGTTTCTCAGTGTGATGCATTGCTTCCCATCATAACACAAATTATCAACCTCTCTCTTCAAACTGGTCAGTTTCCACAGTCATGGAAAGAGGCACTTGTCCATTCACTCCTGAAAAAACTTGGTTTGGAAGCGATCTTCCAGAATCTTAGACCGATATCCAATTTACAATTTGTGTCTAAACTTGCTGAGAGAGCTGTGTTTGAACAGATGCATGTTCATATGGTGGATCATGATTTGTATCCGCCAGGACAGTCGGCATATAGGAAAAATCATAGTACTGAAACTGCGCTGTTGAAAGTGAAAAATGACTTACTGATGAATATGAACAAACAACATGTTTCACTCCTTGTTCTTTTGGACATGAGTGCGGCCTTCGATACAGTAGATAACGGTATTATGTTAGAGCGTTTGTCATCTAAACTGGGGTTTTCCGCTATGTGGGAGATCTCAGTGTGTCACTGTTCGTGGTACTGTCTCTGATAGGTTTGATATGCCTCATGGCGTTCCGCAGGGATCTTGCTTGGGACCTCTATTGTTTACAATTTATGTGAGTAAACTGTTTGATGTCATTCAGAAGCACTTACCAGACGCTCATTGTTATGCCGATGATTCGCAGTTGTATGTTGCATTTAGACCTAAAGTCGAATCTGAACAATCCGATGCTGTCATAGCCATGGAACGCTGCATTGAAGATATAAGGAAATGGATGAGTGAAGACAAGTTGCTTTTGAATGATGATAAGACTGAGTTCATCTTGATCGGAACTAAACAACAACTCGGCAAGGTTAATATTGATCACATTACAGTTGGAACCTCTGATGTTGCTCCTCAACCTGTTGGTAAAAATCTTGGTGTATGCATGGATTCTAACCTTTTTATCAGCACGCACATTTTAAGAACTAGTTCTTCTGGGTTTTATTTCTTATATAATATAAGGCGTATAAGAAAATATCTTACCAAAGAATCGACTGAGATACTAATACATGCATTTATATCAAGTCGTTTGGACTATTGCAACAGTTTGTTGTATGGACTACCTAACTGTCTGCTGGCTAAGTTACAAAGAGTGCAAAATGCGGCTGCACGTTTAAACTGGGGTTTTCCGCTATGTGGGAGATCTCAGTGTGTCACTGTTCGTGGTACAATCTCTGATAGGTTTGATATGCCTCATGGCGTTCCGCAGGGATCTTGCTTGGGACCTCTATTGTTTACAATTTATGTGAGTAAACTATTTGATGTCATTCAGAAGCACTTACCACACGCTCATTGTTATGCCGATGATTCGCAGTTGTATGTTGCATTTAGACCTAAAGTCGAATCTGAACAATCCGATGCTGTCATAGCCATGGAACGCTGCATTGAAGATATAAGGAAATGGATGAGTGAAGACAAGTCTGCTGCTGGCTAAGTTACAAAGAGTGCAAAATGCGGCTGCACGTTTAATATTTCAAGAATTGAAGTATTGTCGTATTACACCTCTGTTGGAAAACTTACATTGGCTACCCGTCAAATACTGTACTGACTTTAAAGTTCTTTTACTTACGTTCAAAGCCATTCATGGAATGGCCCCACAGTATTTAAGTAACCTTATCAGTCTTAAAAAATCTAATAGATACAGTCTCCGTTCTAGCAATACTTTGATACTTAGCACTCCGTCTCTCAAGTCATTTAAGACTTTAGGAGATAGAGCATTTTGTATGGCTGCTCCAGCGTTGTGGAACAGTCTACCGTACTCTATTAGAAATTGTACTTCTGTAAATAATTTTAAACAATTAGTCAAGACGCTTCTATTTCGCCAAGCTTTTGATTAGCTCGAAACGTTTCTTAGTTTAATATATTTTTATTTGTAAATTTCTTAACTTTTGTAATGCGCATTTGAAAATTGTAAGGTTGATAAATGCGCAATATAAGCTAATAAATTATTATTAAATTATTAATTTTTTTTTTTTTTCTGACAAACCTTTTATTTATAGAATATCCTTTCTTGTATGGCATCTTCAAAAGTAATTGCAAAGTACTGGCTTAATTTAAGGTTGTATGTGTATACTTGATTATGTCATTACAGTAACTTTTAAAAAATGTTTAATATTCTGTAAAATATAATTTTAATTAGTTGATTTATAATTGCTGTTCGTAGATGTATAGTCACAATCATATTACATTTTTTTCTGAATGGAAAATCGCACAGCAATGAATTAACTATAGTTTTGTAGCTTGATGACTGAAGAATTGTTTTAGCATAATCCTGTTGAAGAAAACACCCTCGCGTTCAAGATACAGGGTTCCAAATGTGACCCTTGTCTCGATAATAATGTTTTTTGTAGTGTGCGTAATTACTAAATTCCGTATCACAACACTTTGCTGGCTATTTTTACAAAGTTTAGAACCACAAACATACTTATTTGATGATTGTTTTGTAGTTAAGTAATCAAAGAAGCGGTATAAATAAATAAAAATGAATTTTATAAAACAAATTTTAATATATTGAGTTATTTTTCACCTGGTACATCGACAATATCAATGTTGATCGGCGATTTTTTCAAAAACAACCAAAAATTATTTGATCGGATTTATTGTCAAACAGGAATGTAAATAGCTACAACTTATTTTTGCATTTCGTTTACAAGACGTTTAAGTCTTACAATTTGATGTGTTTAGTTTAAGACCAGAATTCAAGGAACTAATTTCAAAGTTTGACAGATCATCCTGCAATGCTGCAGCATCATCAAGGCAGTTGATTTCTTTAAATAACTTGGTGTCATCAGCATAGGTTGCGATAGAAGAACTCACTATACTGTTAGGTAGATAATTTTCATACATAGGAAGAGTAGTGGACCGAGTATTGAGCCCTGAGGTACTCCTGATGTTACTGGTGTAAGAGATGATGTTGCACCAAGAATGGTCGTTTGCTGTTTGCGATCTTGTAAATATGAGCCAAACCATCTGAGGATGTTACCATTGAACCCGAAATCATGAAGACATTTGTGGCTCACCTTATCAAAGGCTTTTGACATGTCCAGGTATAAAACATCAATTTGTTTACCACGATCGAACAGGTTACCAATTTAGTCAAATACTTTGATTAACTGGGTGCCGCAATTTCTTCCTGGCATGAAGCCATGTTGACAATGATTAATCTGGCTAAACACATGTTCTTTGATGCGGTCAAACAAACAGCGTTCCAATACTTTAGATATTAACGAAAGCAGAGATATTGGTCTGTAATTTTCAACATATTTTTTATCTCCCTTCTTAAAAACAGGAACGACATTGGCCAGTTTCCAATCTCGCTGTATTACAGTGCGCAGTGACTTGTTGAATGGATCACCAAGCAACGGTGCTATTTGATACGCTGTTTCTGTAAGTAAACATGCAGGAATACCATCTGGTCCATGGGCTTTATTGTTGTCAAGAGTTTTTAAGACTGAAGCAATATGAACTGGTGTTAACGTGATGTTCTCCAACAAGGTGTTGTTCATCGAGTTGTCATGAACTGCTTTGATTGAACAGGAATTGTTGATCACTGGTGAAGATTGAGGTGAAGTAGGAATTAAAGGCAGATGCAATGGCCTTTGGGGATTCCGTGGATGATCTTGTAACTTCACTTTCAGCTATTGACACCTTCTCGGGTACATTGCTGACATTTGATTTTAGTTTGAAGAGAGACCAGAAGTGCTTCGGATTATTCATGCGGTCTGAACAGATAAAATTTATGTAGCTTGAGCCGCTATCACACAACGTTTCCTGTATATTATGGCAATTGGTTGTAGATCAAAGATCAGCCGACCAACCATTGTTCTAAATATTATCCAAACTCTTTCCAATTGTGTGATGTGGGAAGGGCACATTGCAAACAATTCGTTATAGTGATATTCTTGTGATTTTGCATGGCTAAAAACGACACATATATTGTTCATAAATTCTAGGCTTAAGCAGACGAAAAATTTTCACAAAAAATTAATTATCTGTGACATTATCTTGATACAGCAGCATCGCGAGAAAAGGAAAGTTGTAGTAATGAGTAATGTAGATCATCTTGATATAGCAGCATTGCAGAAAAAGGAAAATGTGTGTAATGATTAATGTAGACCATCTTGATATAGCAGCATTACAGGAGAA